CAGTTGGCATAATGGCTATGTTGCTGGCATCTCCTATAGCAAACAAATGAATCTAAAAATAATAATAATAATAATAAGGAGCAAATTATTCATATGTGCAACAATCTGGGTAAATTTCCAGGAATTTAGCTGCATGAAAAAAAGCCAAAAGCCAGTTACGAAAGGTTACTACTGTGTGATTCTATTTGTGTAACATTATTGAAATAACACGATTATGGAAATACAGAACAGATGAGTGGTTGCCAGGGGTTAAGGAGGGAGTGGGTGTAGGATGGAAGTGGGCAAGGCGAGAAAAGGTCAACAGGATGAATTCTGTAGTAATGGAAATATTTTGTATCTTTTGATTGTATCAGTATTAATATCCAGTTTGTTATATTGTATAATAGTTGTTTTTTCCTTTCTTTTCTTTTCTTTTTTTTTTTTTTTGAGAGGTTTTTGCTATAGGGTGCATGTGCTTGCCAGAAAGACAGAGAGAAACAGAGAGACAGAAAGCGAGAAATCACCCCCCAGGGGGGATGGCCACATCGCAATCCCTTCTCCTCCATTCTCCTCTCGGGATCTTGGGCATGTATGCACACGCGCCCGGCGTGAGTTTAAAATCTTTTCTTTTCTTTTTTTTTTTTTTTGAGAGGTTTTTGCTATAGGGTGCATGTGCTTGCCAGAAAGACAGAGAGAAACAGAGAGACAGAAAGCGAGAAATCACCCCCCAGGGGGGATGGCCACATCGCAATCCCTTCTCCTCCATTCTCCTCTCGGGATCTTGGGCATGTATGCACACGCGCCCGGCGTGAGTTTAAAATCACTGGGTCTGGGGACCAGCAGTTAGCGTAATGGCTATGTCGCTGGACTCCCACATAGTCGACCGCGGTTCGTGTCCCAGACCTGGTGGAAAAAAAAAATGTGGCGTGGCCATCCCCCCTGGGGGGTGATTTCTCGCTTTCTGTCTCTCTGTCTCTCTCTGTCTGTCTGGCGAGCGCACGCGCCCTATAGCAAAAACCTTTCCCCGCCTCCCCCCTCCCAAAAAGAAAATCACTGGATCTGGGATTCAAATCTCGGTCAACTACATGGATGTCCAGTGATGTAGCCATTACGCTATCTGCTGGTCCCATATTGTATAATAGTTTTGCAGATGGTTACCATTGGGAGAAACTGGGTAAAGTGTACATGTGATCTCTTTGTTTTATTTGATTTTGTGTTTCAAGGATCCTGGGCATATGTGTGCACATGTTTAAGTCACCAGGGTCGGGACTCTGATTGGTCATTTGAGATCTGGTGTCCTCTGTGCTCTGGGCCAGCCCCCTTTGTATTATAATTTTTTTTCTTTTCTTTTTCTCTCTCTCTTTTTTTTTTCATTGCCAGAGGGCACATGTGCTTGTCTAAGAGAGACAGACAGACACACACACACAGAGAGAAAAAGCTCCCCTCTATGGGGTATGGTCATACCACAATCTCTAACCCTCCATCTCTCCACTCCAGTAGGATATGGGGCATACATGTGCACATGCCCAGTGTGTTCTTCAAGCCGCTGTGACTGACACTTGCAGTTGGCCATGTGGGATCTGGTTCCTTCAACCACTGGGCACAGAGTCAACCCTCTGTTGTTTCTTTACTTAAAAAAAAAAAAAAAATTGGGACCAGCAGTTGGCATAATGGCTATGTTGCTGACCCATGTAGTCGACTGTGGTTCGAGTCCTGGACCCGGTGGCTTAAACTCACACTGGGCACATGTGCGTGTGTGCCCAAGATCCTGAGAGGAGAATGGAGGAGAATGGATTGTGGTGTGGCCATCCCCCCTGGGGGGGGGATTTCTTGCTTTCTTTCTCTCTGTTTCTCTCTTTCTTTCTAGTGAGCGCATGTACTATATAGTAAAAAACCTCTCCAAAAAAATTAATTTAATTTTATTGATCATTATTATTTTAATTCACCAGAGAGAGACAGAGAGAGAGAGGGAAAGTGAGAAAGTAAGCCACCAGGTCCAGGACTCAAACTGTGGTTGACTATGTGAGAGTTGAGCACTTTAACCACCATGCCACCTGCAGGTCCCATCCCTGTATTGTTTCTTGAACCTGCCTGTGAATCTACAATTATCTCAAAATAAAAATTGTAATACTACTAATAGAGTATCCCACGTGTAGGCAATCAGTCATTCACCATTCTTCCTGCCCCATTGTGTGTTAAGGTCCCTAAAGCAGACAGAATCAAGATTTATCAACATAGGATAAATTCTTGATATTCTGCACACTTTTCCCTTTTCTCTCACTCAATGAGAGGTCTTGTCTACTGCAATTACTCCAAGGGCTTCCCATCTCATTTGTTTACCGCTATTATTATTATTTGTTAATATTTCCACAGGGCAAATTCATTTGGCTTCCTGGTTGCCCTGGCAACCTAAGACTAATGTCCCCATTTGGCGCTGAGAGAAACCAGAAAATGATTTGCTAAGGAGCCTCCAGATGCAGGCCCACAGTTCTTTCTTCTTCATATGTGAGCTGCCACCTGTAATATTTGCAGTTTAGAATCATTCTTATTTTTCCTGATCACTAAATTCCTCTCTGTTTAGCACCTGTCTCAGATCACTTTAGAAATCAGCAGCTTTTCAGGACAAGGAAAGGCTACATCTTACCTGGACCTGAATTTCTCCATTAAGGCCAGGTTATACAGAGTCAAGGTTTCCTTTGGGCCCACAAAGGGGTTGCTGTTGTTTCCAGGACAGCAAGATGATGGGGTTTCCTTCCAGCAAAGGGTTATGCAATTCCCGCTGTCTCTGGGAGTAGCAGCTCTCTGCTGGCCATATTTAGGGCAGACGTGGGGTGAGGCAGTGAGGTGGCATTGCCTCTGCTTCTGGAAGCTTCCTGTTTAAGAATCACTTCCCCTAACTCAGGGAATCATTCTTTTCTTTTCCTTTTTCTTTTTTCTTAATAGAGATGTTTGTGATAGGGCACATGTGCTTCCTGGAGAGGCAGAGAGACACAGAGAAAGAGAAAGCCTTCCCTTTAGGGATGGCTATGGGTAATCCCTTTTCCTCCATCTTCTCCTCAACTCACTTGTGCCCAGTGTGAATTTCAAGCCGCCAGGGTCAGCCACGTGGGAGTCCAGGACCTTAACCACTAAGCTACCTGCTGGCTCCAAGATTGCTTTTTCTCAGCATACTCCATGGCTGCAGTGTGGTGGTGTCATCTGCGGGTAAATAGTGTCAAGGGCAGTTTTACTTCTAATTTCATCATTTAAAGAACTGGGAGAAGGGAACCAACAGAGTTTAAACTGCTGCTATGAGCTGGGCACTGAGCTGAGTGTTTTGACACATCTTGATTCACAGAATCTAAGTGGAATCTTCAGAACCGCCTCTGAAGTTAGTAGACACGTAAGCCTCACCATATAGATGAGTAGAGTAGGCTCAGAGAGGGGAAGTGATTTGCCCATTGTCACTAAGTAATAGCTACAACCTCGATTTAAACCCAAGTCTGCCAGAATCCAAAGTCCACGGTTTTTCTGACCCTGCCACCGAAGCAATTCAGTGTAATGACTAACAGGCGAAGATGCAGGCTCTGCAGTTAGACAAATGTGGGCTCTATCTGACTCAGGTCATGTGATCTTGGGCAAGTCATTTAACTTCTCTCAGCCTCAGTTTCTTTTTAAAAATTTTTTTAGTATTATAATCTTGTTTATATTACATTGAATCACATATAACTTTATGGTGTATTACATTTCTTTTTCCAGGAGGAATAACATTCATATCAGTCAATACAAAGACATTAAAATCCCCATTATCATCATCCAATAGCTTTTCATTTTTTTCCAGATTACTATTATTCTTGTAATGATTTTTTTTAAACATTCAATCACTATTTGTCATTTTGCTTGTAAAAAGACTTTACCCAACATGAAATACTTCTCAGATCTGTCTAGTTGTGAGCCTCAGTTTCTTCATCTTTAGGCCTGGGGATTAAGAATTCTTTCCATGGCTACAGGATTGTTGAAGGGGTTTCAGAAAATTTCGTATGTAAAGCAGTTAGTGCTATTAAAGACTTGTGTTTTTCAGATAAACTATGCCTGGGTGAGGTGGTGGGACAGTGGTAATGGGTCCACATGAGGAAGGTCCTGAGTTCAGGTCCCAGGTCTTCATGTAGTCTTGGAAAATGGAGCTTTTGAAGGGATAATTTGCTGTGATAGTAGCTGTTTTGGTTCAGATGGACCTAGATTTACATAACACACCTTTGAGACTGACCTTTAAAATGAAACCCCCCTTCCGTGAATTGTAAAAATGCCTTGCTTTGTGTATTCATTTTTTAAAAAGTTTATTTCTTGAGATAGAGAATCAGAAAGACAGCACCCCCAAAAGGGTCTCCACACTGCAGCCCATCCCCAGCCTCAGTCAGCCCAGGATCAGACACAGGAGAGCCAGGCATACTTAGGAGGCCTCTGGATAACCCAGAATCCTTCCATGTGGGCCAGATTAGGAAGGCATCAACAGCCAATCCCTGCTTGGTCAGTTCAGTTCCTCAGGCCCAGTTTCCCCAAATCTTGGTTTTCCCCAAATTTTGGTATTGCAGAACTTGGTATTTCAGAAAGGGACTGTGGCTATTAACAGGTCAACATGTTCGCGCTTGAGATCGGGAAATTCACGATCTGGAGAAATGAGGGAAGTGCCTCAGCTCACAGTCTGACAGCAGCAGAGCTGGAACTTGAATCTTGGTGCTCTGACTTTCAGGCCCGCACGCTCGGGTAATTAAGCGACTTTAGCCAGGGAAAGGAAGCCAGCGACCTCGGAGTCTCCATTTCCTCACCTGCGAAATGGGGTCAATCACCGGCCCTCCTAGGTGGGCGTGGCCCAGCCGCGAAGCCACCCTTTCCTGTGGCTGCGACACTGGACAGTAGAGGGAGGACAGAACTGCGGGGCGGTTGCGGTTGAGAAGGGGCGGAGCTCTTGAGGCTAGAGGCGGAGATTCGCGTATCCGGGGCGGGGCCCGAAGGTTACGCGGCTAGATGGGCAGTGGGCGTGACCAGAGAGCCTGCGAATAGGATTGCAGGTCCCTGGGCGGGGCTTCGAAGTCAGGGTGGGGTCTCGTGGCTCCGATGGGTGAGTTTTGAGTAATGGGACGCGGACTGGGTTTAGGGAGTCTGGAGGCTGGTTTGGTGGTTTGGATGGACAGTGGGAGGGGCCCTGGAGAAATCTCTAAGGTGCTGGGGGACGTGGCCTAGCCGAGCCAAGCGGGTCAGTGAACTCGAAGAACCCCGCTCCACTTTTGAGGAGCAGTGGGCGTGGCCTCCAGCCACTCAGAAGACGGAGAGCTGGCCGCGCGCTTGACCACTGCCTTCCTCCGCGGGCCACCTGCATCCTTCCGCACGACCAGAGGGAGCGCTAGGGAGGGCGAGGCGTGGAACGTAGGGTGGGAAGCGGGCTTCTCCTCCCGGAAGTGGGCGTGGCGCGCTGCGTCCCCAAGGCCCTGGTTGGGCGCGGCGCGGCGCGGGGGCGGAGCCTGCGCGCGGCG